ATCCCATTTCGTTATATTTGCTCAATGGCCTAACGCTTCTTGAACCACGTATTTGAAAATCACCAAAGTGAATTCGTGGGTGAATGAGCTGTTTATGCACCAGAATCGTTGCCTTTTCGAGAGCGTCTACTTAGGTGTACAAAAGATCCACTGCAATGGAACCATCCCTACTGCCTTACCTTTTCACCTCAAAAAATTAATTATTGGTAAATCAGCAGAGTTTGGGGAATCTTTATTCATTTTTTAAATGGCAAATGTACAAATTCACATCTAATAATTTGGAAAACATCAGTGCTTAAAAATTATGCTTAATTACAGCGACCTTGAAAGGGCCATTGTCCCAAAATTCACCTATCAGAAAACTTCCTCCGTCGTGGGTTGCATGTTGTCAATATCATCGGGAAATCATTGAATATTATTACAAAATATAACGCCTGAATATAAGACCTCGTTAAGAGTTTGCAGCGACCCTAGGCGACCTCGACCTCGAATAGCAGATTCGAAGGAGATTGGGCCAATGAGGTTGAAGCGGCAGATTCAAGTGCGAATATTTGGTGTGCGCGAGTTCAAAATATCGGTTTGTTAAATGCGCGATGCCACACAAATTATCATTAATTTAACTACCTCCAGGTGCACTGCAATCTAATTTAATTGACTTATCGTGTGTTCTGCATTTGGGGTTGGTAGATATACGATTTCTGAAGTGCCAGTGGTGACTAACATCGTGCGCGTTATCGCCCGAAAAACTTGGCAAATGAAAAGCGAGACCAGTGGTTTGATTAATGCGATCATCAGATCAGGTGTCGTTCTTGCATGAAAAACATGCTTCTCTTTGCCTCTTCTGGCCGACAAGCACGATTGGGTTTTTTCAAATCGTCTTTGCCGATTTGTTTTAACCAACAGGCATGGAGTGATCATTGTGTGCGCTCTGATTATAGGCTTGTGGCTAAGGTGTATGCTGGCCAACTTAAATCACGTTATCCTGTTAAATTTACCTGCCCGATTTTCATGGATAGGATACAAAACAAGGCTGGCTAGTAATGTTTGCTCAAATATCTGGCAGAAAACCTAATGTGAGCTCACCTAACTAAGGGTACAATCCATCACACAAATTTTCTTGTAACTCGGTAGTACTGGAATGCACTGAAATTCCCCTGCGTTCTGGTGCTTCTGCTTTTTTTGCCAACCTTGTCTCATTAAGGGCGGTTTGAATGTGTTCCCGCCATCGGCCAATCAAATTTTTGTCCTAAAAGGCCTATAAAGTGCATTCTCTCTGGGTGGTAATGAACAGCATTACACAACTTGAAATGAACCAATCACAATGCAAAAATAACCATCTCACTCGTCCACTCTAATACGTACATCACTTTGGTCGTACTCTGTAGAACAACATAATTTGCAAGTCGTTTACTCGCATTTCTCATCAGTTTACTGCCAGTGCACACAAAATGAGTTATCACGCTGACACTCAATTCCCTGATTGGTCAAACGTTGCTCTTGATCCGTTACTAAAATTAGTAGCTCGATTGAGGCATGGATCCGGGATTTGTACGGTTGCAACACTTGTTCGTTTCGTTTTGTTTTAATTAAGCACCCCCCAAGCACAAGGGTACAATATTTCGTTGCATTCACCTGGAGGAATTTGAGGCCTCCTCGCTGTCATTCTTGCGAATCCGCCGAAAGTGCGAACTTGCGGGCGAAAAGAATGCGGATTCTGACAACCGCTGGATGCTCTTAGTGGTTCAGCCATAACCACCCGCCAGGGTAATGCGTAGTTCTCCCAAAAGACGCGCGATGTAGCGATGGGCCATGTTGCCCAGCAATGCTTAAGGCGCGCTGACCTTTTAGTCGCGAAATCGCGTTCATTTTGTGCTGTCCACGAGGTCAGTGGAGATTTCTGCGTCCATCTGAGGTCACATTTTAAAGCCCATCTTGATATTACTGGTTGGAAATTGGTTTCACGCTGACTAATCACCATATCTGGAGGCCTTTTTTAACCGATTTTGAGACGCGTAAACTTGCTCCGAAAGCCCACAGCTCACGTACTGTTTCAATGGATAAAAAATTGCATCAACGCTATTCCATATGTGTATTTATTAATATAACTATGTAGAAGATACGTATTTTGCCCAGAATTCCAGCCTGGCAAAAGAGGGCCTCTAAATTAAATCTGCTTGTTACTCCCGATGTTCTACGAAGTTGCTTATTTAAAAGTTGCTTGAGTAATTGAGGGGTGAGGGGTTTTCATTCAATGATCACCACCTCTCCGGCTGATCGATTGAATTGGAACGAAGCAGTCTCTGTAGATGTGTGCCGTGGACAGCTGATGGAGTAAGATTAAAGTGTAAATCATCTTTAAATATGCAATATGATCTAAAAGTGCAACACGTTAGCAAAAAGTTTAAAGTTTTCGGCGCAAAATCACGAAATTCGATGAAACGATGGCAATTCAAACCAAAGTTGGTTTTCGCATCTTCCAACTGTCCTACTTTCACGAAATTCTCTTCCACTTTGGACGCGAATCCACAGGACGGAACATCTTTTTTTAAAAGATGTTATCCTCTGATCTAATCCAAAATCTACCATACCCCTTGCAGGATATTACAGTATCCGGTTTTTGTAGAAAAAGCCGAATTTTTACTGCTAATTCTGCGTGAACATGAACGCTCCTTGCAGCCAAACCAGAAAAGATGGGTTTTTTCGCACACCAAATCAAACTAGTGCACTAGTGTTGCTACGACGACCACTCCTCGCAGAGAACACATATCAGCCGTCAGATGCTTTCGGATCAGTACATCTATGAAACGCTAAAATTATCATTCACTAAATGTTGTGACTAACCCCAATGTAGGCGGTGTGAATCATCTCGTTTGTGGAAAAAGTTTAGATGTGTTGGTGCAGCAACGGGGGCGTGATTACTAACAGCGGTGTTCCACAAGAATGTGTGACTGCTGCACCAATAAGTATTGGTCAAAACCAGCGATTCCCATTCCAAAATGGAGTCTAGCAATTCATAACCACCATCAATGAGTGGACCGTGATTTCAACAATTCTGTACTGTTGTAATCGTTCCCTTAGGGACGATGAATATTCACGATTGTTCATCTGGCAACCTATAAACTTGGAATAGTTGAATTGTGTTGAATGCTCCTGTTTTCAGTTAGGGTTCCATCTGATCGAAGCAGATACCAGTCACAGTTACAGTGGTTGGATTTCAACAGATGAGTAATCCTCTCGACAGTCTGACCTTCTCCTGACAAATCCAGACCAGGGATCCGGGGAAAGGTACAACAGTTTAAAAAATGAAATTTTATCCTAGCATCGAGGCTTACTGCGATTCATTTTTATCATAAAATGCAACGATTTATAAATGTAGACAATCAAATTGAAAAACGACGTTATTCTGCTGCTGAGAATTAGAAAGATGGCCATTGTTTTAGCATCTAGTCATTCAAACACGGGTAACGCAAGCCCGCTTAAATCAATGCATTTTAAGCATTTTCGTAATTTGTCGTAGCGCGTGGACTTTGGCAAGACATGAATATGCTCCAAACCACTTTGTTGGCGTTTAAATCGGCAGAATTTGGTGACCTGTTTCGTCGGTTTAATGTAAACAGGACCACCAGAATTGGCGTCATTGGATTTTGAATATCCCCGAATCAGTGTCTGATAAATGTGCCGTCTTGTTCTGGCAACCTGGTTCTACTTTCTGACCTAAATACAACACTTGTGGTCCGATGTTTGTGCTGTCGTCCACATTGCGTTTACGATTTTCCGGCAATTTGTAAATCGTGAGCCCCTTTTTTACGCAAACATTTTAGTCACCTGAAACATGAGCAACTGGTCAGTGGACAGACTGTTCGTATTTAACGCTTCAAAGAAAGCAGATACAGCTACGATTGACACGCTTACACCGGAACCTCCAATTAAACAACTTTAGAGCTGAGAAATATCATTGCAATCCTGGCTTTCGTTGCTTTAAATAAATTTCTCTAAGTCTATCGGAAACATTCAAGCCCTACCTCGCATCTACCGCATCGAAGTTAAACGAACAAGGAGGACACCGGAGAACAATCAAATCCAGAATTTTTTGCCGAATCGAATCACATTGCGTCTCACATGACCATGGAATTGTCTCTAGACCAAAGAAGTGTCATGTCCGGTGCTTGTTGGCTGCGATTTCGGGATTACAACGCCACATGATCACTGGTTGTATTTTTAACTGCGTCCTATGGTCTAATTTTGACACGTGTGTGGGACATTCGGCAAGAATGAAATTTACGTGTCCGGTGGCTGTCACCTCCAAGCGGTACCTGGTGCCAATCCAGTCTGATTAGACTTCCACTGACTACAATCGGCCCGCATATCTTCGCCGTCCCCATCGAATAGGAATGCAATTGACCTGTTCAGACTGTAAATCTTTCTTTATCTTGTGGTGTCGATGGTGAGAACCGATTTGAACTTAGAATACCAAGAATTGGGCCAAACTTCATGAAGGTGCGTGGAAAACCGCCAAAAAACGGAGACACAGAAATCCAGCATTTGATGTCGCGTCCCTGAGAATCTGTTTTTTGCACACAAGCAAAAAATGACCACCTGGTCGGGCCGAGTGTTTGTTGACTTCCAGCCAAGGCTTCATAACACAAAAGGGTGGCAGTACTTTACCCTGGCTGTCTTTATGCAACACTGTAATTGCTAGTCCTGAAACCTTGGCCTCCCCGGCGTCAGATTCAGGTTAGTCAGTCAATGACTTTCATTTGCAAATGCATATTAACAGAAAATTCGAGCCTATAAACGGTTAAATGGAGATATTCGTGGGACCACACACTTAAAAGTGATTGCTGTCTATAATAGTACATCTTTCCTCCATCCATTTTCATGCCAGATCAAGTAAACTTCCAATTACACAGTTTTGTGGAGTTGGACACAGGCCCATCTCACCTACGAACTGTGCATTTCCGCCCTCCCTACACAGCAAACCGACATTCTAACTTGAGGTGATGTTCCGTGTCGAACGTTACTTTTCACAGGGCGGTAATTCGGACCACCAGTCAGGCAACATTTCACGATGGAAACCACCCAACCACCCACACACTCACAAACACACGACACGTGTCAGGCATTTCGAGTGTAAGTGTGTGTGTGTGTGTGTGTGGATTTGCCAAATCGTCCAACGCACCTCAAAGTCCCCCATTGTTTACTTGCTGACAGCAAACATCTCGTCCATCCGCGTCCATCCATCCCCCTTTCCCAAACAGATCAAGAAGGAGAGTGTCATAGGTAGGTGCTACGAGTCAAAAACTGATGAACAAATTCTACCTGATCGAAAAAAATCAACGACAGATCCATGCTAGGAGTTCTCCCAATGAAGCAACAGATTTGCGTGCGATTATTAAATTCACACTGCCACAACCTAACGGTGCAACGTCAGTTGATTTGGTGGAGGTGCCACCTGAGTTCACTCACATCACGTAGCACATAATTTATGCCTTTATATTGGTTAGCAGAACAACCGCTGCTTTCTCGTTTCAACCACCAATCAAGCTTTGCCACAACAGATCTCGCTGAATCTCAATCGATCAGCATATCGGACTGACTGGTGTTCCGCACACAAGCTCTGTTTTGTGTGAAAATCGATGGTAGACACGAGTTCGAGCCCCATCACTACTCACCTCTTGCATTTTCTCGTTTATTCACGATATTGTGCAACATTGCAGAAGCTTTTCAGCGCATTACAATATTGCAGAACGCATGTTGCCTGTTGCAAAACGCATATGCGCGGTTTCCATTACTCCCCGAGACATTAATGACACTTTTTGCAACATAAATGCAAAACTCTTCAATGCATTAACGGTGCGTCAATGTTTGTGTGGTTAGTGCACACGGAATTGTACTTTTGCATATTCACACGACATTTTAACCTCAATCTCTCTGCTAATCCACAAACCACACTTGCCTTCACCTTCACCTTAAACACGACGCATGACATTTCAGTCCTTGACTCACGTAGGAGCGGACGTGTGTGCTGTTCGCAGCATATTCGACCAACAAACATGTGTAAAAAAGATTATTCACTATTCTGCACTTCACGAAACAGCTGACAGCCTGAGTTGGACAGGGTCAGGGGAATATGCTGAGTGGGGCTGAAGGATTTGAACATCTCAGGTGTGTGGCTTGTTGCAGTGGCTGTTGACCTCCAAGTGGTCTGGCCTTGTCGTGGTGCACAATAACACCTCTTCGACTGACCGAATCTGCGCGTTTTCCTTGGATTCAAAATAACCATGTTTGGCTGCGTAAAATAATTTCGCAAAAACAAACATTTCCACAAATCTTTCATTGGTTACGGGTGTCCTGCCTTTGTCGTTGATTCTGCCCCTTCACTGTCATCATTCCACCTTCCAATTCTTTGTACGCCGTCTTTCCGAAAACATTCTTCACCTCTGGTTATGATCTGATCCAGAATAGGTTTACTTTGTAGACGCGAGAATGGAGCGATGATTGTGGAAGCAGTGTTTGATTGCTTCCGTTCTGCTAACCCTTGTGGAACTCAAATACCGAATTTCCAAGGGCCTCCGAGTTGCCGTAAATTGCTGAATGCAGTCACATCGTCAACATCTAGCCTTCAATAACTTGTCCTTCTCGTAATCCATGGATTATCATCAGTGTCCGAAGGTCACCCAGAAACTAGGCGACAGTTTCGGTTAAAATCACTCCTTTGAAATCGGCTTGACCACATTTTAATTTCCCTTGAATACTTCCCGTTGCAGTTCCAACACTCACACACGTTTAACGTTGATAAAATCAAATGAATATTGACTCTGTACACTAATTAAAACAAGTAATTATTTTTGCGGTTGTATTGACTTACGAAGACCATAACTAACGGTCCGTTATTAGAATTACTAAGATCGAAGCTATACCACACTCAAGATTGCATGCCTCTGCCAACTAGGGGAACCGGTTGACGAAGTGTTGCTCTTTAGACAAACGAGAATCTGGTAAAAAACTGATGTGGAATAGCAACAATGTGCAATAATAAAATGCTCGTTGAACTAAACAATTGTATTGACGCAAAATGCAGGTGAGAAGTGGCAGGATAAAATGCTAGGAATGTCATTTATCACCTAATCTACCTACTTTTACACAGGTCTGTTCTTTATACCCATACATAATGGAGTGGTGGCAACATATACCTCATTTTCCTATCACAATCAGGTCTGAAATGACAAAATTGACGGCCCTATGGCGTAAAACAGACGAGGTGGACATGGGGTCAATCATTTGTGACTTCAGGAATAATTCGACGCAACTTGCAGCACAATTGAAAGCTCTCACGAGCTACAAACACATCTGCCAAGATCAGATGTCAATTTCAGGTTTCTGGTTGAAGCCAAATTTAACCTCTTCACATTCGTAGTTGAGTCAACAAGTTGTGTAATTCTTTAAGAATAAGAATTGACATTTTGGCTGGGAGTGGTAACTATTTTCGGTCCAGCACAGTCACTGCACGTGTGTGCTGTCTTGTGGCATTTCCGAAATACAGAAGAGAATTGTGTGAATTTAAATAGTTTGAAGTTTTTGTTAGTTATTTTTAAATAAACGTGTCGAAGTTAAGTGTACAGGACAAATTTGCTTCAAAATCTCACCATAACCAGAGGTTTTGCAAGCCCAAATCTACCCCAAGAATCGCCCTCAACAGGAGTCAATCCTAGGTCTAATTTTTTTAAAATTCGTACCACACCTTCTCGATGATGCGCTCATGTCATGAGTTAATCTTGAGTTAGTAGTGGCATTTGCCAAATATCCGATATCTCTTTGCACAAATTGGCCACTGATCAGATCGAAGATTTTGGATTCGCACGTGCACACACCGTAACAGCGGCCGACCAATGGGATTGAATGTCTTCGAAAGCAGCCACCAAGCGTCCAATGGTGGTCACGGTGTGGAGGTTAACTGTGCACACCGACGCCAGCCCACACCCGCCTTTCCATAAGCAGCCGTCTCTGTTCGGTTCGTGGACATCAGAGCAAGTTACCTACATATAACTGCGACAGCTGCAGCCGCGTCCAAGTACATCAAAATGAAGGGGCGTTTGGAGCTCTGGATTGCCATATTCGTGCTTGTCTTTAGTTTTCAAGGCCAGGCAGTTTTGGGTAAGTTGATTGGCTAGAAAATTCCCGTGGGAAACTCAATTAGTCAAACAGTTTCCTAACTTCGGTCATGGTTCATTCTAAGCGTTAATACCGAATCGAAGATTGTTCCCTGAATGATACACTGATTTTCAATCTCTCTTTTGGGAAAGGCCCTTTTACAGCCGACCTATGCGGTTCCTCTTTCATTACGTTTCACCCTCCTTTTTCACACAAAACTAAGGCTAAGTTTTAGTTATTGATTCTTTTAAATGTACTTGATTGGGTGCATTAACTGTTGTCATGGAAATTGTGAATAAAAGGCATGTTTCTACAAATTTCCAAGCTATATTTATTGGCACTGCTGACCTGTGCGTTAAACGACCGCTGTTTAAATACCAGAATTTTGTTATTGTTATTTTTTGTGTAGAATTTAGAAATATAAGACTGCAAACACATCGAAAAAGGAAACCGTATGCATCGACTTTGTTCAGTCATTTGGCGTCGTTTTATTTAAATCCAGCCGTTTCTGACCATCCTAGTTACCGAATTAACGTGCACGCATACACACGCACAAATAATCCACCCATCGTTTGCGGTTTAAATTTAAACAAATTCAAAGCTAGCATATCAACAGCCAATAATGCGTCGCTCTAGAGACCGTCATTTACCCACCCTCATCTCATAGGTAGCACTTTTAAACACCATTAGCAAGTACAAAACACTTTACTTCACAGACATATTCCTCATTTTTAGAGTAAATTTATTTTTCCATTTTTAAAAAGATAGTAACTTTCAGCTTCCAATAAAATAGAAATTTTAGTCACGTAATCAGCCACGAAAATCCAAAAATCAATGCGAATTTTGATAGCCAATCGATTTTTAGAGCCCTCGTAAAAAACATAAGATTTGAAATACACCAACAAATTGCCATTTCGGCTCTCACCAAGTTGTCTTCTCGTTGTTTGACTTAAGTCTGTGTAGTTGAGAGGAAATTGCATAGTTATGAGTTAACGTTGTGCCCACCCAATCAGCCAATCATGCGTCGGTGGTTTTTTTGTAACCAGGCCAAAGCTGGCGAGACTACGTGGAATACAACCGTCGATTCTCGCGCAATAATGATGAAAATGATGATGACTTCTGTAAAGTTGACCTTACCACCAGGCGTAGTTTAGAGGCTTTCACTTGCCATCGCATGTTAAGTCGCCCGCACCCTGTTACAGTCGGTCTTTTGTGACTACTTAAAGCATGTAATATTGTTATCACTCATTACCTTGATTACACATACACGTATATTTATATCCACAAATATTTATCTTCATCAGCAATGCCGCCAACGCGAATTTTCTGCTACTTACTACCTTTTATGCTAAAAAAGTCTGTTTTTAAGACAGGGATGATCCGTGGCAGGGCCGCATCCGTAAAAAAAACGCCTGACAAATTGCCCAATGGCTTTTCAATCAGATAGGAAGAAAGCAATAAGCCTACGTGCTGATTGAATGTGTGCCAAGGAAATTTACCGAGGAACTGACTCCTCTTAGGCTTTAGTTGAAAACGTCTTTGGCGGTGATTGGTCCGTTCCACCTGGAAGGCATCCGAAGAGGTGAAGTGGATGTGCAGTGGAAATACTTGAAATACACTTGTACAATTTGAACATCTAATTTAGGGAATAGGTTCTGAAAGTCTGGCGTTTTGATTACAGTAAAACCACACTCAACAGGGCTCCCGCTAATCCGAGTCGCGACTCTTCGAGGTAAGTCAGCAGAGATTTTTTTGGGGGACAAGCCTCGTCAGAATTGGGGAGCAGATGGATGAAGTGGGCTTGGCGTTGCCTGCGATTGTACTTAAAAGCCGAAATTTTTGTGTCAGATGAGGTAATCTCCTTGGGTGGTGGACTAGACGAGCCGAAGATTCTGCTGACAAACGGTGACACCACGCCAGTTCAAGTGCGCGATGGCGACACCCTGCAGTCGCGCTGTTACCTGGAAAACGAGAACGACATCGAAAATTACCAATTCACCTGGGTTTCCCGTAGCGACAGAACCGATGAGGTTCTGTCCGAAAACCAGGACCTCTACCTGTCGGGGGTCACGTCAGACACCTTCCGGTATCCCATCTACTGCCTTGTCGAACGGCTGGACGATGGCGAGGTCTTTGAAAAGCAAATAGCCGTCAACTATCGTAAGATTACGCACGCACTCAAACTGAGTGATAAGCCGCTCCGCTCAATGTCACTCGCAGTACCGATGCCACCGAACCAGCTGCAAGCTTTTTTCTGTCTTTTGTTCCATCTTAAGTTGCGCTCTCGCATGGCTTGCTGAAATTGCTCTTTTTGTCGCTTTTAAAACCCCCTTGTGATGATGCTGCTGCTGCTGCCATTGCCACTGATAACTGCAAACCGTGTTCCTCTGTCGGGTCAATCCTCGCCCTCTTTCGACTCACAAACTGGACTAAAATTGAGTGTTTCGTCTTGCAAAAGTTTTGAGGGTTTGAGTTTCATGGGGTCTCAGTTAAGAGGGGCCCGGTTTCGTGGTTGTGAGTGTGTGGAAGGATTGGGTAGGTTTTCAAAAAGAGGAATACCACGATGGGCACCAATTAGCCAATAATCGCTCGAAATCCACGTCGAGAGAGAGGGAGAGAGGAGATGACCTGACAGGGAAACCATGGCTGCCGAGGTGTGTGTCGGTGTGCGCGTGCCTGTTTTTCTCCATCGACTAACCCCCGTGTGTTCCTGTTCCCGCCTAGATGGCAGGGCTCAGCCAAGGACGCTCGAGATCAGACCCATGCCATCGGAAGACATGGCGACCGGAATGGTGGTGAGGAGGTGCCAGGTTGTGCCAACGCCGCCTCCCCATGAACAGTGGGAGTACACCTGGTCCGAACCCAGCGGGCGCATTATCACCTCAGACAGCATCCTCTCCATCAGGGTACGCCTCTTTTCCTCCAATTAGACACAGGTGCCGCAGACTAATCCACGTGTTTAGGGAACATTCATGAGGTTAATTGTAGCTGCCCACCACCTGCTATATCCACGTCCTAATGAATGAAAATCCCTCCCCTACAGCGCCATTCCATGTGTCTAAGTTCGCGTACTACATATAATAATGAATGATTGATTTACGGTATCGATTTTTTTGCACAGGTCACCGGAGAACAGCCGTCTGTGACGTACACCTGCGAAGCCAGAAACCCCCGCACTAACGACGTTCTCATTGGTGAATTTACCGTCCACGCAAGAAACATCCCTACTAGCAGTATGTCATCCATTAATTTGATGAAAATTGTTGACACTATGACCCAGTTTAGCAGAGTTCAAGCTTTTATCCTTGGAAAGGTCAACTATTCCTGACCGTCACTGTTCGTAGTCTTAACAAAATGGGTGAAGTTAGGTTTTCAGTGAGTAATATTCCCATCTACCATGGCACTGTGATCCGGGAGGCTGGAAAGTGGATAAGGGGTTCTTAAAATCGATTCCAGACGGCCCCAAGACCACGAAATCTGCTTGGATGCTGGTCTGTTAAATTCAATGTGTGACATTAAAGAAGAATCACACAAAGGTAAATCTAAAGCTAAGCTAACCAGTCGTGTGAAGACAGTAAACTTACACATTTCTAACAAAGCCTCCACAAGAGGTTACTTCCTTGCATCGGAAAAAAAATTGTTTTAATTATCTATTAGCAACAAGAACTATTGGATATCTGGCTAAATTTTCGTAGCAGCAGAAGACTAGTGTCTAGTTATCTTGTCTATTTCCGTGACGTTGAATACATTTGAGGGGTTACTGCAGCTTGGTAGCCCTTTTCGTTTCGTCAGCTGTTTTACCTTGTGCCTGTGTCCAATGTCATGTTGTGTTGGGCTGAAAATAATTACCACTCCCAGCCAAAATGTCAATTCTTATCCTTAAAGAATTACACAACTTGTTGACTCAACTACGAATGTGAAGAGGTTAAATTTGGCTTCAACCAGAAACCTGAAATTGACATCTGATCTTAGCAGATGTGTTTGTAACTCGTGAGAGCTTTCAATTGTGTTGCAAGTTGCGGCAATTTCTTCCTGAAGTCACAGATGAGTGACCTCAAGGTTACCTCGTCTGTTTCACGCCATAGCGCCGTCAATTTTGTCATTTCAGACCTGATTGTGATAGGAAAATGAGGTATATGTTGCCACCACTCCATTATGTATGGGTA